TTAAAATATTGATTTGTTCACAGGTTCCTTGTTGCGCTGCGACGAATGAACAATTACAGAAGCCATTACAGAACAACACATTTTCCGCTTTGAACGAATCAATATTTTAAAGACAACATAGTATACTGCGTCAAAAGAGAGCTATCGTATCAGTCAACAGCTAGATTCAAAAATTACTGTATGTATATTCACACTTTCGGTCAAACTTTCTGTAAATATATATTCAGACTTTCTTTATATATATATTCAGACTTCTTATATTTATATATTCAGACGTTCTGTATATATATATTCAGACTTGTTGTATATATATTCAGACTTTCTGTATGTATATTCACACTTTCGGTCAAACTTTCTGTAAATATATATTCAGACTTTCTTTATATATATATTCAGACTTCTTATATTTATATATTCAGACGTTCTGTATATATATATTCAGACTTGTTGTATATATATTCAGACTTTCTGGTTTGCGTGTTTTTTATACATAAATAAACGTGTATGTATATATATATATATATATATATATATATATATATATATATAAAATTTAATAAATATATTAAATCATTAATTGAACATTTCAGATCTTATGGTAAAGTTAACAAAGATGCAAACGTTTTTTTAAAATTATGAAACATCAAATTAAACACTAACATAACGGCATAGAAAACAATATGAACAACATCAATCCATCAATGGGAATGATATACTACACGCATTATGCAAATGATTTATTCATAAATACCTTCCTGATTGAAATGTTTTAATAGCTGGTTCGCTGAAAAAGGCGGAGGTTGCGATCATTTGCAGCACTACTCGAACACTATTATACGTATTTTTACGTACTGTATATCGCTGTCCAAGATGGCCGCCGGTGCACGCGTGCTTCAAAGATCCTATTGCGAATGGGGTAGTGACAACTCTTGCTAAAGTTTTCTTTAGCAAAAGAAAAAAAAAACTTGTGACTTTTGATCAAAAGTTTATTAGCAGTGAGTAGTAAAAACTGATGAATGAAGTGATGGATGGAAGGAATTAGAAATAACACTGCCGTGTCATTAAAGCTCTATAAAGGTCCTGAGATTTACAAGTTCAACCATAAAATAATAACTGAGTCATTCCATTCACGGCGACTTGAATGACATCGTTCGCCGTCAACTCCCCGTGCAGTTTGGCTGCTTTGCGTTAATGTGGATGTGAGACATTTACAAAGTCATTACGGCAGGAACTGAGGAGCGGCAGCACACAGCTGAAGTGTAAACCCCTAATAGCTGTTTCCCTTTTGAAGACAGCCCCTTGTTTCAAAGTGGTTTCCACTGCTTTCTCTGCAGAGGAAAGTCTACAATGGTTTTAGGAAAAAGAATCCCCTCTTAATGCTTTTCATTATCAGAGGAGAGTTTTAGAAATAGACAGAGTGCCTCAAGTCTTTCGTCGCTTATTAAATGTTTTCCTGAGCACATCTAACGTAAGAGCTCCGGAGGATGCCGCAATCCAAGAACATTAGTGTATTAACCCTAAATATTAACCAAAGAACACACACTGAATATATATATTCCCTTTGATTTCGCAGGCAGAATGTCATGTTGTCAACATAATTCAGGAAGAACTAGAGTCCAACGACTCCTGGTTTATTATTCCCTACGTGTGTCGAACCTTTGACTTCCTTTTCTTTCTGCTCCTTAGAAAGAAATGATTTGCCAGCTCATTCAATCAGCAAAGTGGCTCAGCCGCGAATGCATTACCTCTGTCTGGACCTCTGACACATTAACCTTGACAACACCACAGACGGGGGAATGTTATCTGTTGAGTAGGTTGCATCCCAAAGTGAAGGCACATTCGGCCAGGCTGTGAATTATTCATGTTAGATGTGGGTGAGGAGTTGAGCAGAGGCTGGGCAACTTGAGGGCTAATCCGTCAACAAAGTGGTACATGTAGCACTCTGATGCTTATAGCTATCGATTATGGGTCACTTTAGCTGGTATCTTGGCAAAAGGTTCAAAACAAAAGAGACAGGCCTGATGTCGTTACTGTCAACACTTTTAATGTTTTGACTGCACGGTAAACGGTAGGTACTGTACTGTGAGGAAGGTGAGCTAACAATGAAGCAAACTGAGAGTGAAATTATTTACACAGCCTTCTATTAAATATATAATATATATATATATGTGTATTGACAATTTCATGCTTTATTCCTATGGTCATCATGCACTTTCTTAGGACTCATCACTATTATGAATGAATAATAGGGAGAAAATCACGTATGTATGTATCATGTATGTGTATATACAGTATATATGTATGTGTATATATATGTATATATGTATGTATATATGTATGTATGTATGTGCCTATATGTATGTATGTATGTGTATGCATGCACTTGTATGTATATGTATGTATGTATGTATGTATGTATATATGTATGTATATATGTGTATGTATATATGTATATACTTATGTATATATGTGTATATATATCTATATGTGTATATATGTATATACTTATGTATATATGTGTATATATATATATCTATATGTGTATATATATGTATATACACACACATACTGTATATATACACACACATATATATATATATATACGATGAATACTTGTTTGTTTGCATTGTTTTTAGTGGTCGGAATTGAAATTCCTGTTGACATGCAGGGAAACAAAAACATATTCTCTTGTACTGAATATATGTATCAAATGCATTTTAATTGGAGAGGTCTCCTGCACGCATCAACCGCAGCTAGGCAAAACGTGTCTTTCAAATGCATACGTAGCAAATCAGAGCGACAGTTCCCAGTCACGTCCTCCTCCTCTGCTGCTGTAGTACTTAGATCTCCCTGGAGCAAATGCACTCTCAAGTTATCATTCCCAATGAAGGACATCCTTTTACTGAGTCTCTTTCGCACGTAAAGAGAAACACCGTTATACCATTTCCACAGAGTGCTACACTTGGGATGTCAATACATCATATGTTTCCATTATTGACTGTCAGCTTTGTCATTTGTAAAGATCTGATCCGATGATGCATTAACGTCCTGAATGATTATAGCATGGTCAGGTTTTTTTTTTTTACGGCCTTGCTTTAAGTCCAGTAACCACGGGACAGTATTTTTTTAATGCTCAGCTATGAATATTTATAGTAAAATATATCATCTTATTAATAACAGTAGAGGTGTCAAACTCATTTTCACCTGGGGCTCCACATCAGCAATACAGTTCCCCTTAAAGGGCCAGTTGTAAATGGAGGACTATATAGATGTTACTACTTCATTATGTATTAATAAATGTTTCTGTAATTAATTAATTGATTATGCAAGTTACAAATATTCTAAATTGGTCTGTGTCCATCCATCCATCTATCCATCCATCTATCCATCCATCTATCCATCTATCTATCCATCCATCCATCTATCCATGCATCCATCCATCTATCCATCCATCTATCCATCCATCTATCCATCCATCCATCTATCCATGCATCCATCCATCTATCCATGCATCCATCCATCTATCCATCCATCTATCCATCCATCTATCCATCTATCTATCCATCCATCCATCTATCCATGCATCCATCCATCTATCCATGCATCCATCCATCCATCTATCCATGCATCCATCCATCTATCCATCCATCCATCCATGCATCCATCCAGCTATCATCCATGCATCCATCTATGCATCCATCCATCCACCCACCCATGCATGCATCCATCCATCTATACGGAAGTTATACACTAGTATTTGCCTGTCAGTCTAAAACAGGGGTGTCAAACCTATGGCCCGCAGGCCAAAATTGGTCCTTTAGGGGGTTCAATCCGGCCCACTTGATAAATTTGTAAAGTAATAACATTCAATTGAATCAAGTTGAGCATTGTCTTATATACTTGTACTTCTTGTACCTATTGTTATCTATAGGTAATTATGTCATGATTCTACTGGTCCATCAGCCCAGCTAACATCTAATTAAGCTGTACTGTATGTGGCCCCTGAACCCAAATGAGTTTGTCACCCCTGGTCTAATACATGATCATTGCACTGATAATTACACTATATACTATGTTATATTACATTGTACTATGTACCAGTTATGATTCAAACCTGGCTAACCTCTGTCACACCGCTATGATTCCCTGTTGTTTCCGAGTCTTTTTAGCAACTGAATCCTAATGTGATTTTTTACCCGCAGTCGTATCTCTCCCCTCATGCCATAAAACCTTACATCATTAACACCACTAACAAGGCAACCCCTGCAGTCTGCTCATATGAAAACATACGCAGTGACTGGAGTGGCTGCGAGACGCGCCGCGGCCTACCCTTTTTCTGCTGACTCGAACACAGACGGAAAAATGTGCGCAGAACGCAGGAGTGAAATTGCTGTGAATGGAAAACATAGATGTGGCGTGCTGCACAATGCAAATGAATTCAGCCGTCAGTGAAATTTAGACTCCGGTGCAGATAAGCCTGGAGGATAAGCTCACTTTGGTCTGTAATGACGCTTTGAGCAGCGGACAAATGTAGGACGAGGTGAAACGGACTCCGTTGGAATTTGTCTCGAAATGTAAAAGTCAGAGAGCGGACGAGTAGTCTTTGAAACAGAATGTAAATTTATACGATCTGAGGAGAGGGGAGATGTAATGATTTTACTTTGTTTATTAAGGTTAACTTTTGTAAAAAAAAAAAAAAAGATATTTTTAGATTCTGTTATTTTTTTTCTCCTGCTGGGCTGATAATCACAGGTTGAAATTCCTACGGTCTCTTTTCCCCCCTCTTTCTCTGTTTGCAATTTAGACAAACCTCTGCCTTTAACGGGGCTGCTTTGATTACAGTGTCTGTCGCAGCAGTAAGTCTGATTGATGCAGGTATTAGACAAACAAAACAAAAAAATCACCAACAGAAACAGGGCAAAAGGAATGAAATTTGTTGAGAGAGGAGGAACAACAAAGAGAGAGAGAGAGAGAGAGAGAGAGAGAGTGTCCTTGTGTACCTGGCGTGAGGGAGGAGGTTCAGGAGCAAGAGACAGATCCACAAGCCCAATTCCAGGGATGTGGGCTTCCACAGCACGGCAGCCATATCCGTTTTTGGCAGGAGATGTTCTGCAGAAGCAACACCATAAACAGCTCATTAGTCATTTGGTCTGAGATCAATATACACCGGGGTAAATGGAGGGCATCAAGCCCCGAGGCAATAAAATAGCTGCTATATTTCTTCACAGGATCCAGCTCCACGTGTCTCTCCGTTTTACATCTTCAATCGGGTGTTGTTGTTTTTGTTTAATACCAGTGAGATGCGACACTTCGTCTAAAGATACCCCTTTACCTCTTAAACAAAATATCGTTAAAGATACCCCTTTACCTCTTAAACAATATCGTTTTTTTATCGCCACATTCAAATACCCCTGCCCTTGTTTTGGGTACATTACAGCAGAGCAATACTGCAGTAAAATTAAGTATGCTAAATAAACCGTAGCATTAAACATCGCTGTTTAACTCGCAATGAGGAGAAGAGAGAGGGGGAAAAAAAACAACAACAACAACACAGGTTTGTGTGTTAATCTTCATAGCTAATAAGGACGTTTATCGCGCCGGCGTTTTATACAGTCCTGCGCTTCACCTTCACTTCAGCTTCGCCTCAGTTCGTTGTGAAGACTCGCAGAGCTTCATTTATATGCATCACTTTGTGCACAAAACCATAGCGGCAGGTACAAAGGGGTTCAGCTTATGGATAATGCAGCTCAGAACACAGCTGTTCTCTGCTGCTTGGCGCTCAGCTACACACTCGTATCATTTTCTTACAGGAACACGTTCTGGTTATTTTTTTTTTTCCCCCCCAGTCAGTTACAACGGCGGATAGTAGCAGTTTTATATAGGACAAACCGGAAGACAACACTATTAATTAAAGTATTCATTCATCCATTATCTCATTTAGAGTCTACAGCTCAGGTCTTTTCTAGGGTTGGTTGTGGAGCTGGGGCCAATCAGAGCTGACTTCACTCACAGGCTGCACAGTTCCATCACTGTTGACAATTTATAGCCACAATCATCCTAACCTTTTTTGGAATGCTGGAAGACAATCCCCAGAGACACATGTAAAAAAAATAAAAAAATAAAGCAAACAGTTTACCCTGGGGCTTGAACTGTCTTCAACTGTCCTTGATGTAAGACTTCATTGAAATCATATCCATCCCAGAATTCTAAAATAAATAATTAGATATGATAAAGTAGTTCTAATAGGCATTCTGTTATGTGATATTAATGCTAGATTGATTATCGATCACTGTCATGAAGTATTGATACTTCATTGATTACTTTGATTGAATACATTTTTAAAAAAATGTATGTGTTCCACTTCTTTTAGAGCAGATCCAGTCAAGTCACATGACCACTGACCATTGACTCCATGTAATCAACGGGAGTTGTTAAATGGGCAGTGTTCGTCCTGTATGTTATTAGGTTAAAAAACCCCCAAAAAAAAAAATCGATATCAATAAAAAAAAGAAAATAAATAATTGAATTTACTTTATCTATTTACTCCAAAACACCAAAAAAAACCTTGATATTTTGGTGTAACTTCAATGGTAATATTACATCATTGTGATCGATAGCAAATCTATCTTTACAGGAGTAGAATACTAAAGTCCACAGACTAGATGTTATTACCTTGATAAAAAGATATATTTTTTTGCTCATATCTTAGAGCTCTGTTAGATTTGTTGACACATGATGGTTTCGCACAAGCGAGTAAACCCTTTAAAATATTCAGTCTATGTAAACCATGCTAATGACACACACACACACACACACACACTCCACATCAGGTCATGATCATTACCATCACAGACCAAAGAAAAGGTAACGCAATGGTATACAAACAACAAACGCGAATGTGGTTATGTAACCCCGTTAAATAGAAACAACGTGTAAACACAAGTAAATAATGCAGTTTCCTTGCACACTTTCTTAATGTTGTATATTTGCGACTTCGTAATTGTGGGTAATTACTAGGAAGAGGTCGCAGTCTGGTGATTCAGGAAAGGATTGGATTCCCTTTCATTAAAAATACATGAGACCACAAATTAGCATGACTGCTACTTAGTGCAGCCTAGAAAAAAAAAAACAACCCCTATTACCATACGATTGCAGAGGCCAAGGATGCATGAATGACCACATACACGTGGTCATGTGACCACTTGAGCGCATGCAGGTGTAACTAAGCTTTGTTTTATTTCAAAGGTTTCATGTCCAATTCAACGTTGCTTTATTTTTCAGTACGGGGAAAGAAGTGATCAAACACGACCTTGTGCTTTTTCCGCTTCTCAGTGAAACGTGTCTAATGTCACATGAATATTTATGATATTGCAAATGGCGAAAGAATCGCGGGTTAAGTAGTGAACGTCGGTCGTACGCGTCATATACCTTACCCACCATTGTGTGTGCGCCAATGAAGGGACATTTATGTTTTGCTTTGTAAAATATGTTTAACAATAACGGATCGTTATCTATTTTAGTTTTACACTGGCATCTTAACGAAAGATTTAAAAAAAATATAGGATTGTCTTTCCGTTAAATAAGGGACGTTCGACAATATCGGCCAAACTATATTATCGGCCGATATTGACGTATTATGTGTTTTAGCTCCGATAATGATTGTCATTGTGACACAGCACACCACTGCACACAATTAAATGTGTTTAACGCAAACGGCTACATATATTGGTATCGGTTGATAACGATATCGGAAAATAAAGTGTTTGGACAATATTGGATATTGGCAAAACGTTAATGTTGTACATCTCTACTTTAAACTATTTGATCTTTTACTGAAAAAAAAAACGTCGTCTTTTTTACGTCTCCCACTAGGTGGCAGCAGATAGTTATTACAACTAAGAAACAAGAGGTGTTGAAGACAGTCTTTGTGTTTAACTAAACAGACCGAGGTTTTACTTATGTTCGTGGTTACAGTAAGATCATTATGTTTCATTAAATATACAAATGTTTGGAGTTGTTGCGCAGGAATTTTCTAGAGTAGAATACCTTGGCTCAAAAAAGGTCGGAAACACTTATCGAACCAGCACTGTGTGCTAATTAATTTGTTGACTATTGATTGATTATTAAATAGTACTACACCGTTTACGTGCCACTAGGTGAAGCAGGAGAAGGAAATAAAACTAGCTGCTTGGCGTTCTCATTGCGTTCCGGGTTGAGCTCACACACACACACACACACTGCTTGTCACCCTATTATTCACAGAGCTGTGTCTCCTATATAACACTGCCTCCCAGTTCATTGCATATTCATTGAAACCGTGGAGCGTAGAGAAATATCAGTGCGATTACTCAATATTGGCAAGGACACAAATAGAAATACTTGGAAAAATAGTAGAACCCTAAACTGCGATGGCATCTGGTTCCGAAATATCAATCTACATCGCAAACCGTAAATTACAGTTCACCACCAGGGGGCGACACGCTTGCATGTGAAACGGTTCATTTTTAGGTCATTGCTGCTAATGCAGTTGTTAGGCACTGGAATATTATTTCAATCATTTTTTTGGGGGATTGAACAGACACTCCTGTGTCATGGTTGGCTACTATGATGGCTACTATGATGCGGTGCGTGAAAAGAAAATCCTGCCTATTGTAAAGTTGCAAAGAATGCTTTAAGAACACAGAGTACTTTTTGCTTACCGTTCAGTGAGCCGGTATTTCCAATACTAGTTTATAGTCTTTAAATAAAAACGCAAGGTCGTCTGATAGAACATAATGTCTTTTTTAAGTTTTTCATTTCCTCCCTTTGCAGGTGATAAAAAGGTGATAAAAACCAAGTAAATGTGAAAACCATTGACTATAAAAGAAGCAGAGTTGTGCGGCAGGTGATGTACTTTGACTTTCGCACCTCGAAACAGTCACAACACCTGATGTTTTGGCGGTAGGTCGGGACGTCGTGAGTTATTAAAAGCATGCGATACATCTTCGTAGGACCCAAGAGTGACGGTGATGCCTTGACGGAGACGATGATTGTGTTCGATTTTGTTGTTGCAGTATCATGACAAATATCACCATACCAGGATTAATGAGGGACAAATTATCCTCGTTTTTTTTTTAAGCAGTACAATTATGGAAGAGCAGGACCTGAAAGGCTGAACCTTTGGGAGTTGATGATTTGTTTTTTTTTTTAATCAACACTTATAGGGTAATTATGAGGTCACGCGATGGGTTTTTTTTTTTATAATAAATTACTGGAAAGTGGCTGCTGCTTTGTTTATGCCTCTCCTTTTTAGTATTTATTAATTAGTCAAAGTTTTAAGCACCTCATTAGAGCCTGATTACCTGTTTTAATTACGAAAAGAAATACGTTGTATATTGTGGTTTACGTGTAGAAACGGAATAGTGTCGGAGTCTTACCACACCTACAGTAACTACTGTATATGTAGAAACGGCGTTTCAGGTGTAACGCCCGTGTGTTGTTGCTGATACGGACGACAGTGTAGTAAATCCAGGTGTGAAAACCTTGGAAACAAAATTGCATTACGCAGAGAGATTCCTTTTTGGTCGTAGTGGTTTGACCTGTGGCCGTGGTGCATCATTTCTGCTCCTGCTGTGGCCTTATAAAGGCTGGAAAAAGGGCAGTTCCGCAGTAATCCATTCCTGTGTGTGGTCCTCTCCATGTCGTGAAACGCGTTCAAAATTTCAACCATTGCGCTTTCGTGATCCCGACAACCATTCGTATACGTTGTCGCCTCGGAATTGCAAATTAGGGATGCCATTAGATCAGTGCTTCTTAATTATTTTCTGCCATGTCCCACCCTTGGGGACAGAAATGTTTTCACGCCCCCCTCCCACCTCCCACCACCTCGAAATACTATTGAGAAATTGATAGCATGTATATTTTTTATCTGTACAAACCGCTGTATGAGTTGCTGCCACCTAGTGACTTACAGCAGTGGTACACTTACTATATGTCGTGCCATATTCCGTTGGACCCCACTGCCCCCCCCAGAGGGCCCGCCCCACTATTTGAGAAGTACTGCATTGGCTGATGCATTAACATTCTGTGTTTCTGACCTCTGACGGAAGCATCTGTCCCACCCATCCATCCATCCATCCATCCATCTATCCATCAATCTATCCATCTATCTATCTATCCATCCATCTATCCATCCATCCATCTATCCATCAATCTATCCATCTATCTATCTATCCATCCATCTATCCATCCATCCATCCATCCATCTATCCATCCATCCATCTATCCATCCATCCATCCATCTATCCATCCATCCATCTATCCATCCTTCCATCCATCCATCCATCCATCCGTCCATCCAT